AAGAAATACATCTGGATTATTAAATCATCACTCTCCAGGCATGTGTGTATCATATCAGCATGTGTTCAAACAGGTTTGTTTATGCACATTGACACCACGTTCCTTCTGAGGGTTTACAGCAAAAGCCAAAGTACTTTGAGTGATCATGAAAAGACAGAAAAAAACAACCTTGAGGCACAGTCCTTTTTCTTGCCAATATCCTCTTTACCCTTGATTACATCCCAACAGAAGGAAAACCATAGTCTGTCTGAATTCATTGAAATATCGAACTGTAAGTGACATAAGTAAGATTTCTTCGCAGTTCCAGACCATTTTAATTGGTGACTATATTTAAGAAAATGGGAAAAACAAATCTGTATTAGACACACAGGTAAGTCAATAAGGAGTGATACTAAAAAAAAATATTTTCTATTTCATCTCCCAGATCCACTGCATTAGTAGGTGTGTCAAAGCAGAATATGAGTCCATTGACACACATGCAATCTCTTGCTTCTAGACAGACTTGCTTACTCTGCCTGCCTGAATTCTGAAGATTGTTATTGTTGTGGGTTTAATTTGTTGCTGTCATACACTTCTGACGTGACACCATTGGGGTCCTAACTCTCTCATGAGCTCCAGCAATAACATTTGAGAAGGATGAGGACCTCGTTCTTGGAGGCTCCACTGTGTCTCCACCAGTAAATGCAGTGCCAGTTTAAGCTCTGTGACCCAGACATTGAGGGTTTGAGCAGTTGCCATGTCACTGGCTGACTGTGTCTGGACTGAATGCTGCGGAGATAGGTTTGGGATTAGTCAGCCAGGGCTCTGCGCACTTTCCCGTCATACAATGGCTTCTGTCATTGCGGGTTTGTAGTGATGTCAGTGAGAGAGCTGCTCTTCCAATTAGGTTTCCCTCTTCTGTCAGGCCCAGTGCAGCATGTCACTTACTGAATGGCTGTGCAAATGCATGTGACGCAGGAGCACATCCATGTTTCTCATTCTCTTCCAAGCACATACACAGGGGCCAGTACCAGATAGTCAGGGTTTCAACATAATGGCTAATTTCAAACTGAGTGGTATGTAATAAAAATAATTTACAAAAAGAAAAGAACATTGAAAATTCTTTATTTTGTATTTTCTTATGGTATCCTTCAGAACCCCAAAGACCAATTGCATTGTTGAAGGATTATGCATGTGAGTTTGAAACAGTTCATGGTTTCTCTTTAAGGGATTATACTATTCTTATTTAACTTCCCTTATGTGTATTTTGTGTTGTGTGTGATGTGTACTGTACATTCTTTAACCTTATAATATCCTTATAAGAACTAGAACATTTACACAAATTACCTTTATGAATCTGTTCAATACAGATTTAAAATTTAATTTAAACTAGATATTAAAGAACAAAGATTAAAACCAGTTTACAGGTTTTGGTCCGGCATTCCAGCCATCATCGTGTGCAAGAAACTCTGAAATGCACAAAAAGACATGAAAAGTTACAGTATTAGAAAAGCAAAAACAAATAACAGATGACTCTGTCCATGTTCTTCTAATCTGTGTAAATTCTTCAGAAGACATTACAGGGTTCTTGTGGATGTATTCCACCCTCCTCATTAATTAAAGGAAACCCAGTGTGTTTCTGTTAGAATAAACCCTTTGTTCTTTCTTTCATGATAGGAGTGCGTTAATAGCAATACGGTAACAATGTTCATATCTAGATGATTGTAGCATATCAGACACAATCAAATGTGTTCAGTGACCACAGTGTAGGCTGCTTTGTGTTCTTTTAACTTTTGATGAGAAGTACAACCAGCCTAACCAATATAAACAGAATGGTCACACATTGTAGTGATTTTGTAAACCACATTTTGGTTGTGTTCCATTGGAATGTCATGTTTAGAGAGGCACAATATTTCTTTCAAATACTGACGTTAGTCTTGACATCACAGTACAGCTCATATTTGCAAATTAGTCTTTTTACGTGTTCAGAGATACCTGGGACACAAGGAATTGTGATTATTAGCTTCATTAGTGGATTCATTGTTGGGCTTTTTAGTTATTTGTATCGCAACCTTTTATGATCTACAAAGATAATCACAACCGGCCAGTTGTGTGGTAAAGTATTCAATGTCAATGTTTAACATCTGCACAAATTTGCTGCAAATGTCCTTTTTTCACAAGCTAGCCAGACTCCATTTCATAAATAAAGGGCATTAATACAGTACAACTGTGAACATACATTATCTTAATGTTTGATTTTGGACTTGAGGAAGACAATTAATATTCTGGGGGTTTGTTGGAACGTAAAGGTAAACAGGTGAACCTTGCATATAAGGAGCTTGTACTCCTTGGTTGAAAACACTTCCCAAACCTTTACATACAGTTTTTGAGTTCTGTTTATCCTTATCATTCCTTAATGTCATCAAAATAAGTTGAAAGCACATAACATTCTGCTACATTGCGGGAATAGTGATTAGGGCACAGGACTGCTCCATATAAATTGTTCAAAATAACCTCTCTTCCTTATGTCATTGTAGATGACAATTTGTTCTCAGTTTACAAATCTAGTTAAAGGATTTTCACTATTTAACAGCAGCATTACAACCTTGTACCTTGTACTGTAGGAGGTGTTGTCCTTCTGATGAAATGTGAAACCGAGGTCTAATGTGTACTTGGTCTTTAATGGTCCCAGGGCATTTTTTTTTTAAAGTGAAAGGGGTGTTAACTCCAGCGTCTTAGATAAATTCCATTCTGGGCTTGTATAATCTGGCCTTCATAAAGTTCTCCCTTAATTCAATTTGTGCAGCAATTTCACAGCTCCCCACCAAACCATATTATACAGGCACAAAACATCTCTCATGTACAGTAAGTGCTGCACTTAAGTAGTTCTTTCTTGTATGGAGAGAGTTTTGGGATACTTTAGGATGAAAAGCATTATATAAATGTAAGTACTTATTATTAATTTTATTATTGTTGTAATAACATATTAAGAGACAATTTTGGATTAAGAGAGAATTTGAGTGATTTATATACTGATGTCATGCTATCCCATAGAGCCTTTAGAATGTGCTTTGTGTTATACTGTACATAAAGCACAGACGAATCTGCCAATTTCTAGTGATATTGCTTCTGCCAGCTCAGAAGATTCCTTTGGTTTTGTTTCTGCACTGTAATGTCACTCATCTCAAAGATCAGGTGGCAGAGCTTGAATTAGGCTATAATGAATTATTCACTGCAAGTTATCCTTATATCTGCCTGTAGAGACTAAATGTAATGAAGGAATTATAGTTCTCAACCAAAAGGAGTTGATACAGTTTCCTATTCTGTTACTTTGTATAGCTTTGACAGCTAATATACTTTGTCTTAGAATGGCTGATGCTGAAAGCTCAGACTATTACACAGCAGGTTTTGCAATGCTTGAGGTGGTGTTTATTTTGGAAGGACTTTTATGCACAACTACAGATCTCAGGAGCTAAAAAAGACTGTTCTTGGCCAATACAGGGATGGGAAATCTCTAAGAAAAAGCATTTTTCTGCTGCGTTGGTATACAAATTGGTGGATTTCCATCCATCTGGTCCAGATTTCCACACCAATGCTCGATTACAATGACCGGGGACACTATGCTGTCCCATCCCATGATCCCTCTACTTGCGTGTTAAAAATGCTATTACACTAATGGTAAGAGTAGGAGTGTTAATGCTGGTGTCCTGGCTACTACTTTGGAGTATTCTACTCTGGATTTGCACAATCTGGGCTATCTAAATTTCACTGTAGTTCAATCAGAGAAGCAATTTCTCTGTTCACTACCTGATCTGATGTGCAGCGAGACTGTTGAAGTACATGAAGGCTGCTGCACATCATCCAGGTGGCTTCTACACTTCAGCAGTGGATAAAGTGGGTCCCCTCCTCTATGTAGGATGTATTCCTGTATATATAGTACTTTGTAGGCAGTCAACACCTGTTTATGCGATTCAAAACTAAACAGGCACTTATCCTAGAAAGTGCAGAAATTGCTCCTGGAGGGCTTAGTTCTAAATGATTGGAAAGACTCCTTCCCTTGCAAACAGGCGCAAATCTACAGGAGCCTATCTCTTGTTTGCATTTTGTCAAACATTCCAAAATACAGTGTGCTCATTACGAAAAAGATATTTTAGACGTACTACTAAAAATTACTATAATTTAAAAATGATTTTACTTAGATTTCTTTAAATGGGAATCCCACAGTCTTGTCAAGTCAAACGACAGTTTGTGGCTTATTTATCGAGAGGAAATGAGTCTTCTTATTGTTCACATAACATGATGATTGTTTAGTGCTACTGAACATGTCACCAACATCCACTGCACATCATAAGTGAGTTTTCCAATCTGAAGGTTTAGACGTTCAGATGTGTGCTGATTGTGTTTGTTTTGGGGGCATCGTAAATTGCATTCTGTGTTTTATGTTGAAAGCACAGCTCTTGCTCTGTCGGGAGTGCTGCTCTGCATGGCAGGGCCTATTAAGTGATCATTTCCCAGACAGACCTGTCAGGCTCTTCTTCCCTTCCTCCCTTAGCCCTGGAGGCCGGTTGTAAAGTGTAATAGGATAATGGAGCTTAGTGATTGACAAATGCCCTCCTCCCTCCAAAGGCTGAGGAGCTCTTATTTATTACAGGAATAAAAAGGCTGTAGAGAGCAATGGGCTTTATGAAAGCTACCTTCTTATATAGTAAAGTACTTTTTACAGGTTTTCATCCGTAAATGTTCACTGCACGCTAAACTGTCTGCCTGGCTGTTATCTGCAGAAGATGGAGAAGCATCTGTATTTACTGAGTATCAGTTGTGGGAAATTAAAACTACAGGCCTGCTGCTCATTTTGCAGTCCCTGGAAACTGTGTTTGATGTATTAACATGAAAGGATTATTCTATTTTCTCCTTCTGTGCAATTGTGCTGATTAATCACATTTCCTTGACAAACCAAAGTCGTGAAGAAAAAAAAAATCAAAGTGTTTTGCAACACCTTATTTTATCTGTTTCCCATTCAGGATGCCCTGGGGCCAAGAAGACTGAGTTTCTAACCAGCGTCCTGGATGCTCTGTCTACAGATATGGTGCACGCAGTGACTGACCCCTCCTCTGCTGCCAGGTGGGCTTCCCTGTCCCCGCAGGGGGAAGTACAAGACAGGAGGTCAGCAGTGTTCTCAAAGAGTGTCATAAAGAGACAGTGAAAGTCAAGGGACTAGAATCATAGGATTCTGTACTTTTATCTGTGTTACACAAGCCTAAACCATTACTTGTGCTTTGCCTTGAGAATGACTCAAGAAATAAATGTAATATTTGAGTAAAACTCCCACAAAAGGTGCAATTATGTCTTTGAGATTGGAGGGACCTGTTATTGACTGGGCAATTGCATATCAGTACTCTTTAAAATGTGATACTAACGCAATGAAGTAGGTTCATTGTATAACTAATGAAGACGTTTCTCCTCTCAGTAAGTTTATAATAAAGTTCCAACTCTGACCTGACACCACTGCTCTTTGCTGCCCTTTGCTCAGGATGTGCGAGCCAGACCCCAACCATACTCTGGAGGAGAGGGTGGTCCACTGGTACTTCAGCCAGCTGGACAAGAACTCCAGCGGAGATATTGGCAAGAAGGAGATCAAACCCTTCAAAAGATTTCTGCGCAAGAAATCCAAACCCAAGAAATGTGTGAAGAAATTTGTGGAATACTGTGACGTAAGCAACGATAAGGCTCTCTCCTTGCAGGAGCTCATGGGCTGCCTGGGAGTAACCAAAGAGGAAGGTGAGTGAAGCTGTCCTAAAACTATAATACTAAATACACACTTTCCTTCCTGTTGTTCTGGTCTGGCACGTGGCCATTGCTACAATTGTCCCCAGATAAGCCTAGAGAAGTGACAATGTTATGTGTTTGTCAAGTTCTGCTAGTATACAGTTTTAGACATCTTTTGACAGATATAAATAGACAGAATGGAACATTTTCATAATGTCAAGGACATTTTTTCTATGATCAGGTAAAAATGCAAAAATATGTTTTTCAGAACGTATAGCTACATGACTTATACAAATGATCGATGTCATAAAATGCAGATTTTCTTGCAAACTGTTTTTAACATCCAGTTTTTTTAGTAAATCCAAATATTATTCAGTGATATTGGCAAGAACTCTTTGGCAATTTTATGCAGCAGTTTTAAACAAATCTTTATTTTTTTGTTCAACTTTACACTTACTGAACAGCTGTTGACATTATTTGTGTTTAATAATATGTGTTTAATAACTTTATGTGTTTAATAACTGACATTCAATTTTGACTACCTGGTCAAGACTGGAAATATTTGGTTAACCTTTTCCCCCCTCACTTAGGGCCCAGAAGTCCTGTTGATGGCGCTTCCTCTACCAGACAGGTGGGTGACATTCCAACATTGAAGGGAGGCTGGGAGTGACATGGGGTTTATTTCACACCACCAGTTTAGGTTTCACTTGAGGGGGTTGTGAAAAGTGGTATCCACATTTCAGATCAGCACAGAACTGTATTGAAGGTTCACTGGCGTGATGCTAGAGGGTACAGTTGTCTGAATGTGAAATCCAGATGCCCTAAACATTTGCTCAATATATTGTACAAAATGTGTTCTTATGCATCTGCTTCGTCTTTTATACTTTTTCCTGGATATAATCAAAACTTTGACTCTTAAATTACAAACCTAGTACTTGGAAGGTTTGCTTCAGTTAGAGGGCAAAAAAACTGAAAACTGGCCTTGTCACTTATAATTGCAGGTGGGTCATTTTTTTCATTCAGTCTAGACCTTTGTGCAAAGCTTTGCATTCCTTTAGAAGAAAAAAACGCCAATTTCTAATGTTCAATTTAAAAACTTTGTAAATGCCTTTGTAACCATTTTGATTTCCTTCTTTTTCTTCTTTCCAGCAAGCCTCCAAGAAACAAGGCTGAAAATATGAACTTCTTGCAGCAACACTTTTTTAATTCTCTCGGAGATTGTTTCCTCACCAAATGGCAATGAAAACCATAGTATTTGCACTTTGTACTTTAAAATGTAAATTCACTTTTTAGAAGCAAGGTATTTAAGCAGACTTTTGAATCTGTGAAAGACGTAAGTAGTTTTCATGTCTTTTGTTAAAAAATTAACACATACAATGTATGTGTCTTTTGTGTCTTAAAGGTATGGCTTCTAAGTTGTAAAAGATTTCTTGTATATGTGTTTCATTTTGTTTTATAGTTTATTTTTAGTTGCATTTTCCTAGAAACAAGAATAGACTTTGGGTTAAATTGCTGAAGCTATAGCATAGAGATACTGTATTAATTTCCCATCTGATTTAGCACTCATTTCAGAGCAACAGTACAGTAGTTTTAAAAGTGTGTATTAAACATGACTTGATGCAAAGTAAATGTTATTATTAAAATGGATTAATAGAATTAAAAAACCTTTTTACACCTTTTTCAAAAATATTTTGTCAATAAATAACAAAAAGGTAAACTAATAAACATGTTTATCACAAGACATTTAAATGGCTCCTTGACCTTTTTTAAACATGTTCATATTTTAGTTGTATTCTACAGTATGTTGCTCTTTTTATGGTGCTTCTTTCTGGTTTAACACAACTCAACTTCCTTTTTAGCATAGTGTACTGTAAAAACATTTACAATTATTCCTGTTGAATGAAATTAATTTTGCTTTCCACTCCAATGATCCATTTCTGTTTTGTCATATGTTATTAAGTATTAAGTCATATTCAGACTGAGATAGCATCTGTTGTCATTACTATCAAAATTAATGCTGCCAAGCCCCAACATAAATGTTGGAGCAGTTACACACAATTTTGCAAATTGGATTGATGACTATTATTGACAAAAGAAAAACACCCTGCATTTTAAGGGTATTTGGACACTGATCCTGCCTGTGGCACCCTACTTTCAGACAGGGGGATTTCCATTACAGGTTTAAATAACATCTGTTGTTCCTGCTAGAAGTGCCTTCAGAACAAAGAGTGAGGAGGTGAAAGCAGATGTACACTCCACCAGAAGGGAAGACACTGGTTCTTATCTTGGCAAAGGGAGTAACTTAAATCTTTTCTCATAATCATACAACTTTAACATATAAAATGCATATGTCTGGAGTGGTAAGTACTATGATAGGACTACGATTTTCCAGATTATTTCCTGTGCAGTTCTGCTATCTGTATTATGATTTTTGTATCATAGCCTTTATTTTGCTTAGTTGATGTAGAACACTCTGCAGTTCTGTGGTCTGGATGCCTCTTATTATACAATTTTAAAAATATGGGAAACATAAATGCCTAAGAAAATATACACATGCAAAACATCTCTGAAAAAGGAATCTATTTTTTAAGAAAATTCCTCACAAAAAGAATGGCTTTAAGTAGTTTCTTCAATATAGCTTTAAGACTGAAGCTCTGCCCTGCTCTATAAATTATTTTTAATGATTTTTCCACACAACAGAAAACGTGGTTATGACTTATGGGTAAAGAAATGTTTAGGCTCTGTGTAGGTGGAAACAGTGAATATTATGGTTACACAAATATTAATTATATAATATTTTGATGTCATCAAACAACTACTATCAACTTCCAAGTGATTAGCCTGTTATTAAAAAAAACTACCTATCAGTAATATTATAGATCTAAAGAAGAAAAGAAATGGAATTTATGAAAAACCAATTAGCACTTAATAACTTTTAATGTAATAGATATAGATTGTGTTTGGAACTTAATCAAAACCATAATCTTATCAGATCGGCAGTAGTGTAAAAAAAAACAGTGTCACTATAGAAAGATTTGCCAGTTGATTTCTAAGCAAAAATCACTAAGGCAGCAGAAGGGTTTGGTTATAATTATAATACATCTCATGTGTGCATTGCTTTATGTAGCCGCAAAAAGGTCATTATGTCTTATTCCACACATGAACAGAGCAGCTGTGGTAGTTTTAAAAAAAGAATATTTAGAATTATTAGAACACTATTATGTCATTTCTCCAATTACCTTGATGATGTTTTAAGTTGCTTCATCTATTTTTACTTGTGGTAATCATTACAGGATGGAGGAAACTTAACTGCTGAAGTGGATTATACTTGAATGAAATCATTTGCCAAGAATTCCCTTTTCAATTATATTTTATTAGAACAAGCCACATTATACTAAAACACATTGCACAGACCATCTGATTATTGGAAGAAATCATGTGAGCCATCACTAGAGCTTTTGACTAAAAATAAAAGCTCAGAGTGCATTTTAGTCTTGATGTTTTTGTTATTTATGAGCATCAGTTATGATTTAGCACGAAGTTGGTAAGCCGCTCATGAAGAGCCCATATAACACATCTTAGTCATTGGGTTGTCTTATTAATACAACACTTCTATGGATTCTTTTGAAGAACAATCTGCAGCACTGATTTTTATACAGTGGTACTTTTACTTAAACTGTTTAAGCTTTTACTGGTATGTAAACACCTTTCCACTGGTATATAGCAGCAGACAATCAATCAATTGCAGGCTCTCCTTTACCACTCCATACTTGTTCTGTTTTACACATCCATATTTCTTTTCTGATAAGGTTTGTAATACAGTATTAATGATATTACTGCTCATTTGGGCACACTGCTCTCCCTGTCTTGAAAAAGTGGTACTTAAGCTAAAAAGGCTGAAAAACATTACTCATAAAATTATCATCCATAGCCAAGAGTCACAGACCTCAGCTGATTTCTTTCATTGTCAGTCTATGTACAAAAAGGAAACTCCCATCCGGCTCATGTAACATGACATAGTACCAGCCTAGTGCTGTAAAATTATTGAATGTACATGTACAGAAGAATTGTTAAGACCTGTCATCATGCATTTTGCAGAGGGATGTCCTTCTTCACCAGCTCCCTTTAACTTTTTTTTTTTAGGAAAGAACTTAGCTAAAGGGTTTCATACTTATTCAAATAGGAGATAGAGCACAGTCATCCACATATGGAGACTTAGTAACTGTAGATTCGGAACTAATGCAAAAACAAACTTTTTATGCTGCGTGGTTAATGCTTGGAACAGTGTACTGGAGCCATGCGGTTATATCCAACATGCTGGGATTCTTCAAAAATCAGTTAGATGTTGTCTTTGGATTATAAAAGACAGGTCTGATGGGCCAAAGAGTTCCTGCTCTGCACTCCTGCTTAGTTTGTTATTTGTGTCTTCTGGTCCTGGTTGGCTGCCGCTTAGCTGAAAGTAACTGGGTTCAGATTTTCTCTCCCTTAATCAAATTTTACTGAAGTCCTGTTTATCCTTCGTTAAGTGCCTTACAGCAAAGCAGTATCCTTGTTGTTTGGTGGTAACCAGAATTGACCTTGAATTCTCTGTAATGAATGGTTTTAGCGTTACATTTCCTAATATACCGTACATACCACACATTTGACTACACATTTACTGCCTCACACTGAAGCCAGTTCACTCATTGTTTGTTGTTGTCCAATGCCACGCCAGTGATTGTTTATGCACATTTATTTCATTAACTCATGCCATATTTTCTATTCTTTTTGTATTTTTCATTTTGTACCCGATCAATTTGGAATCACCAATGATTTTATTAATGGCCAGACTCACAGCAACAATGCTGCGTAGGCAGAAGAAGGATGGGCAGTGGAGATCCTCTGATGTTCCCCCCCATTGAACTGTTCACCTTGTGATTATACTGAAACCTCCAGTAGACAAATACAGGAGAAGTGCTTTCCTCTCCAGTGTCATTTCAAAACTGCACATATCCTGGAGGCCATAAAGTTCATTGTTTTGCTGAAAGAGCTCTGTCTGTCTAATACCTACCCTACACTTGGTGCTTGGTGGAGCTCTATCAATTTGTGTGCTGTCTTGATAATCTATAAGAAAAGAAACACAATGTTTCGACTGTGAAGCCTTCTTCACGCGTCACCTGAAGACGTAGCTACCTACTTGAACTAATATGTCATATATTCTTACTATAAACATCATCTATGCTTGTGTTGAATAAATCTTTTGTGACCAAAAGTTGCACTATAAACTAAGTAAGATCTGCTACCCAAATTAAATCTAACCTTTTAACAAAATCTTGACATAGAGCACAAATAACCTAACCTCTTTCTTTTTTAGTGATCATACTTGACTATGTTTCCAAAATCATGAAGCAGCATTTCACTAACTATAGCAGACATAAATTACATTCTTAAAGAACGAATTCATTCTCCTTCTGGAACATATTTTCATAATTTATTTCTAGGTTTTGCATCCAAGTCAACTTATGTCATTGGAATTGTATCCATTCTGGCTAATGCCTGTTGGTGCTGAGAACAGTACTTGTGATTTTCAGCAGGACACAGAAGCTGTGTTATTCTAGGTATTTACAAAGAAAAACATTAATATGAAAGCTAAAACTCTTGGCAGACTCTAGCTCTCATGTCAGCCTTATAAATTAAATGTAATAAATTTCCATTGAACACTTTATAATTTTAGTTGATGCTTACCGTTTCATCTTTTCATACCTTGAGAGAATTTTAAACAATGTTGGTGGCAGTGCTTTGTGATGGGATTAGGTGCATCTTATTAACTTTAAATTACTGTTGTAATTACGCTGTTCTGTGAGAATTACCTGCTTGATATGTACAAGGGAGGGAAATAACATAAGCTTCTGTAATGATATATTGTATAATATCTAGATATTGGAAATAGTCATATACAGTATATATTTTACTTTCTTTCATAGGTATTAAGGCTTGAATATTGATGCCAAAAGAGAAGCATTAAAATGTCTGAATCCTGAGACAGCTTACTTCCTGACACAAACAGCACGTAAAAGCTATCCTTTCCAAGCCTGGAAAACTGCTTAGGGACACATAAATAACAATAAAAAAATCAGCAAGGCCTGAGATCCCTTAATTGCATATCACAAAACACTAACACACGAGTGGATGAATTTTTAGATTTGTCCTCAACCGGTTCAAAAAGACCATTCAGCCCAGTGGAGAGATATGTTAAGATATACAGTATCGAAGACAATCAGCACCGGAGCATGTCAGTCATAATTGAATATTTTTAACAACTTGACAAATGATTGGTGCTGTTGTTTATATTCCTTCCAGCTAAGTGGGTGTAAGCCAAAACCATCTGGACAGCCATCAGAATTCCCTCAAGTTCATAAAAAAGTATGCTGTCTGAATATGATGGAAAAAAATCTCATTTCCAAAAGAATGAATGGCAAAAAAATGACAAATCTCTCATCAACTTTAAAAAGAAGATTTGCCTATTTTCCTTGAGGCATGGATTGATTAAATCATAACCATTTTAGATTGTTTAGATTGTTTCTCTTCCTGTGCCGTATTTATTTGTCCTCTTACCCATTTAATTATGCTGTATAACAAT